TTTATACTCAGTTGGTCAAATCTACACCGTAGATGCAAAGTCGGTCTATATTTATCATGATTTACAAATTTAATTCACCCAGAGTAATGCTATATTCTATTCCATGGGATAAAAAGGCGATATAATTTTTTAAAATGTTAATAATAAAATTATCTTCCACAAAGTTGTTAAATTAATTTTTTTTAAAAGAGAGTTTATCCAAACCAAATTTATTTAGGGATTTTTTTTTTAGGGTCCCTGATATTAAAATTTTATAGTATAAAGGACATTTAATATTTTCGTAATGTCTAAGGTCCCTCAACATTGAACCAGAGAAATTCCAGCCCAGAGAAATTTCAGCCTAGAGAAAATTCGGTCTAGAGAATTTCTCTCCAGAGAAAATTTGATCCAGAGAAATTCTCTGGATTCCAGTCTAGAGATTTTCTCTAGATTTTCAGAGAATTTCTCTGGTTTTTGCAAGAATTTCTCTGGATTTAAAAAAAGAAAAAAGGCCTGAGATTGTGTGCTTGAGAGTCAAACAAAGTGGGTTGTTGGTAGTGGAAGAGAGGTGGTGGTGGTTGTGGAGGAGGCGGTTGTGGGTGGTTGAGTTTATCCAAACCAAATTTATTTATTGTCAGACTTTTATAGTAGTGGTGCGGTCTGGTAGGTAGTTGTTTTAGCTATATATATATATATATATATATTTTTTTTTTATAGTAATTCTAAGCTTTGTTTAGGAATATATTATTTAAATTTTTTATTATTTAAATTTTTTATTAAAAAAATTATATAAACATATAAGAAAAATATGATAATTTATAATAATATTTTAATTTTGATTAAACTATCATCTACTGGAATCTACTGGAATCGACAAACTAGCATCTGCTGGAATTCCCACCTTATCAAGGTTTCAGTCTTGTATTTATACAACACAAAGGCAAAGATCCAAGAGAAACCAATTAACAAGAAGAAAATCGTGCTTCAGGTATTCTCTCTCTTCATCTATTTGTATAACTATCTATGCATGCATACATATAGCTGTATCACTCTCTGTTGGTTTGAGACAGTAAATACTTGATCATGTTAGATCTGAATTAAAGATGATCAAAACCCAAAAAAATATTGATGCATGATTTTTTGTTATTGGGTTTTGAATTTCAGATTTTAGTTATGACTTAAGACAGTTCAATTTCTAACAAACGCTCTTGTTAAAGATGATCAAAACCCAGAAAAATATCGAATGATTGGTTTTTTGTTATTGGGTTTTGAATTTCAGATTTTAATTGTGACTTGACTTTTTAATTTTTAAAAGAACCCGAATTTTGATTTTGTGACTAGGGTTTTTCTGTTTGTTTAGAATTGTAAATCACATAAACTGTTCTATTATTGTACATAATGAAAATCTCTATCTGATGCTCTATTGTATTTTACTCAATCTCAGATCAATGAATAGTTCTCATATCTGAACCAAGATTAATTTGCCTAATTTATGATGATGGGTAAGTTATTCATATGGTTTTATATGATAATTCAGTCATTGACTGTGTTAATATACTATTGCTAATTGTATAAACTTTCTCTTTTCACTTTATTCTTTCGGTGGTTTCAATCATCACTTGGTATCCAATGTTATTTCTTCTCTCTATAAAGAGAGTTCATTTCTCTTGTAAATATACAACACATAATACAGAAAACATTTTGCTCTCTAGCTTCTCTCATTCTTTGCTCTCTAGCTTCTCTCTCAAACTAATCTTTCATGGTATCAGAGCACATCAACCTATCCGAAATTTTCTTCTGAGTCCAACGGCACCAAGCCCGTTCTCAGAAACGCCAACACGCGCCCACACGCGCCTCCCTTAGCCTCCGCGCGTCAACACGACCGCCACCACTCGCACACGCGCCCACACGCGCCAACTCCTGTCGCTCACTTCCGCCACGCGCCCACACGCGCCCACACGTCCGCGGCTCCCATACGCCGCGCCTGCTACCGTACGCGTACCGTGCGCCGCTTTGCTAGTGTGCACCCGCGTGCGCCAAACCAGCTACCGTGAGCCGCGCCTGCGCCTGTCTGCTAACGTGCGCCGTTGCCTTCCTGCTAACGTGCTCCTCCCTGCACTCTGCTAACGTGCGCCGCTGACATCATTGCTGACATCATCTCTGTCCAGCATACCTTTCCTTGCTATTTTCGACCTTCCGGACTCACTGGTACACTCTGTTTTACCTAATTTTGCTCCTACGGATCTATTTCTATCACTTTAACTCTACTCAACTAGTAATATGGATCGTCATGATGCCTCCCATCCCATTTCCGTCATTTTAAATGGTTCAAACTATGTTCTGTGGGCCCAAGCTATGTCCTCTTTCCTTAAAGGCAAGAAGCTCTGGCGAATTGTCACCGGGGATGTGGCTAAACCAGTAAAAGACAGTGCCACTACTGAAACTTCTACTGCTACATATGAAGACCGACTTGAGGAATGGGACAGTAAGAATTACCAAATCATTACCTGGTTTCGTAATACCTCTAAACCTCTATCAGTCTTCAATTTGGCCGCTTTCAGCTTGACTCTGTAACTACTCCTGCGAAAGACATCTGGGAGTTTTTGAAAGAACGATACCAGACTACTGGTCTTGCCCATCAATATCAACTTCAGAACCAACTTCACCGCATGCGCCAAGAATCCACTCAGTCCATTAATGACTTCCTTTCTCAAATATACTCTGTTTGGGATCAGCTTGCTCTTTCAGAACCAACCTGGCATGACCCCGAAGATGCAGTTTTATTTACTAACCATCGCAACCAGCAAAGGTTGGTGCAATTTCTCATGGCTCTTACCCCCTCTTTTGAGCCCGTACGTGCCTCTCTGCTTCATCGCCATCCATTGCCCACTCTTGAACAAGCAATTTCTGAGTTGCTCTCCGAGGAGACTCGTCTCGGTACTCTTCAAACACATCATGTGGACTCTGTTCTTGCCACTCCTCCGTCCCGGCCATCAAAACCCAGAAAAATATCGAATGATTGGTTTTTTGTTATTGGGTTTTGAATTTCAGATTTTAGTTATGACTTAAGACAGTTCAATTTCTAACAAACGCTCTTGTTAAAGATGATCAAAACCCAGAAAAATATCGAATGATTGGTTTTTTGTTATTGGGTTTTGAATTTCAGATTTTAGTTATGACTTAAGACAGTTCAATTTCTAACAAACGCTCTTGTTAAAGATGATCAAAACCCAGAAAAATATCGAATGATTGGTTTTTTGTTATTGGGTTTTGAATTTCAGATTTTAGTTATGACTTAAGACAGTTCAATTTCTAACAAACGCTCTTGTTAAAGATGATCAAAACCCAGAAAAATATCGAATGATTGGTTTTTTGTTATTGGGTTTTGAATTTCAGATTTTAGTTATGACTTAAGACAGTTCAATTTCTAACAAACGCTCTTGTTAAAGATGATCAAAACCCAGAAAAATATCGAATGATTGGTTTTTTGTTATTGGGTTTTGAATTTCAGATTTTAGTTATGACTTAAGACAGTTCAATTTCTAACAAACGCTCTTGTTAAAGATGATCAAAACCCAGAAAAATATCGAATGATTGGTTTTTTGTTATTGGGTTTTGAATTTCAGATTTTAGTTATGACTTAAGACAGTTCAATTTCTAACAAACGCTCTTGTTAAAGATGATCAAAACCCAGAAAAATATCGAATGATTGGTTTTTTGTTATTGGGTTTTGAATTTCAGATTTTAGTTATGACTTAAGACAGTTCAATTTCTAACAAACGCTCTTGTTAAAGATGATCAAAACCCAGAAAAATATCGAATGATTGGTTTTTTGTTATTGGGTTTTGAATTTCAGATTTTAGTTATGACTTAAGACAGTTCAATTTCTAACAAACGCTCTTGTTAAAGATGATCAAAACCCAGAAAAATATCGAATGATTGGTTTTTTGTTATTGGGTTTTGAATTTCAGATTTTAGTTATGACTTAAGACAGTTCAATTTCTAACAAACGCTCTTGTTAAAGATGATCAAAACCCAGAAAAATATCGAATGATTGGTTTTTTGTTATTGGGTTTTGAATTTCAGATTTTAGTTATGACTTAAGACAGTTCAATTTCTAACAAACGCTCTTGTTAAAGATGATCAAAACCCAGAAAAATATCGAATGATTGGTTTTTTGTTATTGGGTTTTGAATTTCAGATTTTAGTTATGACTTAAGACAGTTCAATTTCTAACAAACGCTCTTGTTAAAGATGATCAAAACCCAGAAAAATATCGAATGATTGGTTTTTTGTTATTGGGTTTTGAATTTCAGATTTTAGTTATGACTTAAGACAGTTCAATTTCTAACAAACGCTCTTGTTAAAGATGATCAAAACCCAGAAAAATATCGAATGATTGGTTTTTTGTTATTGGGTTTTGAATTTCAGATTTTAGTTATGACTTAAGACAGTTCAATTTCTAACAAACGCTCTTGTTAAAGATGATCAAAACCCAGAAAAATATCGAATGATTGGTTTTTTGTTATTGGGTTTTGAATTTCAGATTTTAGTTATGACTTAAGACAGTTCAATTTCTAACAAACGCTCTTGTTAAAGATGATCAAAACCCAGAAAAATATCGAATGATTGGTTTTTTGTTATTGGGTTTTGAATTTCAGATTTTAGTTATGACTTAAGACAGTTCAATTTCTAACAAACGCTCTTGTTAAAGATGATCAAAACCCAGAAAAATATCGAATGATTGGTTTTTTGTTATTGGGTTTTGAATTTCAGATTTTAATTGTGACTTGACTTTTTAATTTTTAAAAGAACCCGAATTTTGATTTTGTGACTAGGGTTTTTCTGTTTGTTTAGAATTGTAAATCACATAAACTGTTCTATTATTGTACATAATGAAAATCTCTATCTGATGCTCTATTGTATTTTACTCAATCTCAGATCAATGAATAGTTCTCATATCTGAACCAAGATTAATTTGCCTAATTTATGATGATGGGTAAGTTATTCATATGGTTTTATATGATAATTCAGTCATTGACTGGTTTAATCAGGGGCACAGTTTTTTTACATGAATAGATCAGCTATATGAATCCCAATAAACTACAGTCTGTATTCAGTTATCTTTTGTTACTTGAAAACTTAAATAATCTGATAAATCTTGTTGCTTGACTTACTTTATAGTGAGCACTTTCTATAGTTTCTCTATTCTTGGCAGGTATAGTCCTAGGTTTCAACTTATGAGGTCCTTTACATGATTAGCATCTCACAAGTCTCAATCATATAGGGCATGACATTTGAAGATAAAATTTAGGTTTTTCCTTATGTGCATCACTGGCGTGCTCGCGGGGATATCCTGAATCAAGAGAGCTGAGTTCGAATGAGATTCTTGGTTGACTTGTCATGTTCATCTGCAGTGACTGTCCTCTTTCCAAAAACCATACTAGGCCATATAGGATCATTTAATGGTTTTAACTGAAAAACCGTCTAACCAAGCCTTTTGATCCATCATTCCAAATCTTGGACTATGAAAAGTATTTTGCTTTACTTGAAGTTATTTTTACATAGTTATCTTCTTTTTTCTTTCTTTTTCTTTTCTTTCTTTTTTTAATGGTACACTTGGGGTTAAATAATTTCCTTTGTTTTGCAGTTTCATGGTGATAACATGGCACAGTTCGGGCATTTTTGAGTTTTTTTGCAAGAGATTTTGTGTTGTAGGAATATATTTATATTCAGGGCGCTGCCTTCCACCTACTAAATGGTAGACGGTTATTCCCTTCACTGGGAAGTAGGAACTATATCTTTGTGTATTAGAAACTTTTGAGCTTTGGTGAATGACTCCTGTCCATCTTGTCATCTCTAAGTTAAAGCAGCACGTCTTTGTCTATTGTTTTCTAGCGTTGGCTCTTGAGATAATTGAGGCGTTGTTTCGTTTCCTTTCTTTTGGGAATCAAAATTCAAAAACAATTTCAGAAACAATCGCAAACAGGCCAAGTCTAGAGAGACCTTGTTTACTCTCTTGATTAACGACTGGGATCTGACTTTCTGGAATCTTGATCACTATTTAAATCAAGTTTATGACAGTCGAAGTTGTACCATTTTCTGTTAGTGTATAATCATCCCCTGTTTGCACCTTGACTTGTCAAGGGGCTATAGCATCAGCTTGGTGCAGGGACTTGTAGGACAAATAATGAGGGTAGTGATTATCTGCTAAAACCTGGTTAAGTTAGGGACACTTTGTTAGGAATTGATGCACCTAACTAGGATCGGTGAGACACGAAACACAAATAAGAATAAAACAACAATCTAAATCACGTGCACAAGAGTACAAAACACTACATGGTTTACCTCATAATAGGGCTACGACCACGGTCACTGCAGTTTCTCTATGATTTGAAAGAGTTACAATATAATATAGAGAGATGTGACACTTCAACCATATACCTAGTATTAGGGCAACAAGGTCGAATTGTGAAATACCAAAAATACCCTTACATGGTTGGATTCACATTCAGTACTTATCCCAACTTACTTTTGGTCAAGCACACGCACCCCATAAGATGTTGTATGTACAGATTTCCAGCTGCATATTTATGCACCATTGTTCTTGCAAATTTCTAGGCAAAGTAGTTTGAGAACGTACATTTAATTTGTTTGTTTTATCTTGTTAATAGTTTTTATGGGTCATTATTCTTTACATAATTTTTTCTTTTTTGTACTTTATTTTTTTCAGTTGATACATTTTACTATTGTTGTTTTTCTAGATAAAAATCCAGTGTCACTGTTTGCATTCTCGTTGTTTTTGCTTCTTCATAATATGAAATCTCAGAATTCATTTTTAGGTACTTGTTATCAAAGCCCTTTGTTGTGTAACCCATTCGAAGATTTACCCAAGTTTGAAAAATATGATCTGAGATTTGTCAGTTGATATATATGAAAGCATGGAAAAGTTCATAAGCATGATCAAATTGGAAAAACAACTGAATTTGAAAATTGCAATCATGAAGTGTTCATTAACTTTTGTAACTTTTTTTTCTATTAGGTTGTGTTTGGGTCATGGATTTGCTAGGGTTTTGGAAAGTGAAAGAAAAAGGTGAGGCAAATATGAATAAAATATAACCTAAATTTTCTCTCCATTTCACTTTCTCTTTCCAAATTCCAATCCAAATTCATGATCCAAATGCAGCTTTGTTGAAGTAATTGATAACACTGAAACAATGAGTTCCAAATTATGTGGGTTGACTTTTCTTATTGATTTCTCTTTCTTGTATTTGCAGACATTTTGGTTCAATAGATCTCTTCAGAGATTTTTGGGGAGCTTGTTAAATGGAAGACCATGCATCAATTGTAAGAAATTGGGAGGACATGAACACTGATATTTTGTTGAAGTTATTCCAGTCTTTCGACATCTTTGAGTTGACTTCTGCAATTCCTCGTGTTTGTAGCACGTGGCGTATGGTTGCTTCTGATCCTGTGCTGTGGGGAACTCTTGACTTATCGATGTTGAAGTCGAACTTCATCAAAACCACACAAGAGCCATATATTTATGTGGAGAGTCGATCTTGTCAAACATTAACGCGAGTGTTAAAGATTGCTTCGAATTTGAGCAGGGGAAACATATTAACATTAATTTTCCGTTACGATCTCTACGTCAGAGATGATCAGTTGACTTATACTGCTGAAAGGTATGTCAAATAAGTTATTCATTTTTCTAGCTTAAAATTATTGTAATCTTAAAATTATAGTAAGCATTGCCTTGAAAATTCTTACTTTCCGTCCTAAAGAAACATGACGAAATCTTATATTGAATTGAAATGTTTCCTTTTTTTCCCCATAAGCGTTGTATTGAAATATTATCCATTATGACAGTGTGACTGCAATTAGCTTCCCACACCTGATAAAAAAATTTAAGTTAAAAAGAGGAAAGGGAAAAAGGACTGAATGAAAAAGAATAAAACTTTTATGGACTATTTTTTTGTTATTGCAAGATATATTGGCAATATTGGATCATTTGATTAGAATGAAATTTGGAATGGGTACATTTATTTATTTTTTGATAATCGACTATCCAGTCCAGCTTGCGTGCATCTCGACTAATCTTAAGGCCCTAAAATTAACAACCAGTGGCATCTCCAGAGGCCCCTTGGGTTGACTCGAACGTGTGACCTTGATTCTTATTCTCTAGTCTTTGCCACTTGGCCAACCCCTTGGGATTTTGGAATAGGTACACTTGATGATATGAATCATGATCCCTCTTACCAATTGGAATCAAAGAATTAATAGATCAATTAGTCCTTGAATCTAGAAAGAATACAGAAATAGAATAAAAATCCACTTAATGAAGAAATAATTAAAAAAATTATATTGATTTCCAGATAGCACAATTGGTCAAATTAGAAACAAGTACCTCTTCTCAATGAATGCCCCAAAAAATCACTTCAAGTAATGAATATTATTCAGATTTTGAGAGCAAAGAAAAAAAAAAAAAAAAAAACCTCCTGTTATTCTATCAAAATATCCAATATTTCAAAGAATATCACTGACTACAATCCCTATCTACCAAAATTTTTACTTCTGGTTCCGGCTAACAAATAATTGTTGAGTCCTCCTTCCGAACAACACAAACAAAGGGAATTAATGGAAGGGAATAAAAACTTTTATGTGACTTTTTCCTTTTGAATTCAGTGTGTTGCACCAAAGTGCACTGTGTCTTTTTTTAACATATTCACTTATCTCATGGATGTTTATTAGGCTGATTTTCTTTCTAAACTTGGGGCCAAATTTGGACTGTAATAAAAATTGATCGCCTATCTCTTCTCATTGCAGGTGCCCGCGGCTCAAACGACTTGTTATGCCAGCTTGGAATCTAATAAAAAAGTCAGGAATATGCAGTGCTATCCGTGTGTGGAAAGATCTCGAGTCACTAACAATGCCGGCCATAGAAAATCCCGCATACCTCATTGAAGAAATCGGTAAGAACTGCAAGAACTTTGCTGAACTCAAGATCATGGGACCTTTTGACATGTTATTTGCATCTGCATTAGTTTCATTTCTTCCAAACTTGAAGGTTTTAAGCCTACGGTGCTCAGTGGTCTGGATGAATGCTCTGATTGTGGTCTTGGATCGCTTACCGAAGTTGGAGGTGCTAAATATATCACATTGTATACTCATCGAAACCTCTCCACTTGCACAGGGAATGATTCTCAGGGAGCTTGATGGATCGATTCTAGAGAAGGCCTCAAGGTTACGTGAATTTCTGACGTGCATAGATGACTGGTGCATTATGTGCCAGAGGACTAGAAAAGATGAAGGGCTTGTGAGGTGGTACAAATATGAAGAAGAGCTTTGGAAAGCTGATGAGGTCAGATCACTTTCTCTTTAAGCTTCTTGAGATGGTCTTTTTGTGGGCTGGGTGCCTTTTAGTCTGAAGCATCTGGAATGGGAATTTTTCTGCTGCGAGGAACGACAACGGGAATATGATACACAATATGCTTTAAAAATCCATTATTGATACAACTAGGCTTGTATATAGATCATGCTATTGGAATTTAAGGCACTTTTAACTATGAGAGCAATTTTCTTCTAATAGTTAGACATTCAATAAGGCATAGTTTATTATTCTATTGATCGTGTACAACAAGATTTTAGGAACATTTATGGCCCATTGTTTTTGCATTATGTCATGCCAAAACTCTCTAGATTTTAGTTTATTATATTTGAAATTTTCCTATTTTAAGAAAATACATAGAATAACTTTGCAAAGCAGCATAATAAAACTTATGGTTGAGTGGATGTAACACTAGTTTCTCTGTTCATCAATATACCACTTGTATCGAAAAGTTATTTGGTGCTCTTAGTTTCTCGATCACGTGAACTTGCCCTTGAATACCGAAAGAGAATACCGAAATTTCTCTAACTTCACTCCTAAAGTTAAAAAATCAAATTCAACAAAATTTTGTTGATGTAGCAATTGATAAGAATCATACCTCATTATACAGCCAATTTTTTCCCCGTTTGTGGGCTTCTTTAATTCGACTGAGCTTTTCAAAATAGTTTTTCTTTTTTGTTTTTTTGAACATAGAAAAAAGCAATATCGATAAAGGAAAATGTTTGAGGGCCACAATTTTTGTGGCCACAATGGCTCAAAACTGTCAAAACGACGTTGTTTTGGGTGCAAAACATGCCAAAACGACGTCGTTTTGACAATTTTGAGCCATTGTGGCCACAAAAATTGTGATCCTCTAGCATTGTTGATCTATAAAAAAAACTATAAGAAAACAAAGACCAGGAGGTGGGTGCAGAAGCAAATCTGCATTTAGAGAGCCACACCGGTGAGCTCTTGTCACCCAATCAGCTTGCTTTGTTTAGTTGTCTTGAGTTCCAGCTAAAGTTGATTGCAGGTTGTTGCCTGAGGTCCCTTACATCTTGGAAAATTATCATTTTTTCCCAGGGAGGTACAGACGCAGAAAAACACATATGGATCACAACCCGGTTATCATTCTCCATGGTTGCAGGAATGAGATTCAGGGCATTAGCATAATAGCAGGCTGGTGCTTCCCCTTGCATATCAGAGGAAGATGAGATTGGTTCGACGGCACCACCTACTAACTCCCCTTTCTAGTTTCTAGCAACAATAGCAATGGATGCTTTAGATTTGTCACGAGTGAAGGCCACAGCACGATCCAAACTGGTAAGGCAGGATTGGTGGAAAGATTTAAGGCTGCGGGATTTGCCTGTTGAAAATTTATCCAGGCTTGGGTAGCCTTTTGGGTAATGAAAACTTGGGTTTATTGGATTATGATTGAAAACAAAATCATTCCTTGCCTTACAAACATGCCAAGCTATCATAGCAATGAAACTAAGCCTCGAAATCTTATCATCCTTTCCTCCCTCATTGTGCATAATAGCCTCTGTCCATCGTGATATTGAATCAATGAAGTGAGGAGGATCCACCTTGTAGTACAAATCGAACCCAAACCAAACCGGTAAGGTCCATGAGCAGCTCCACCGGTTCTGAATCGTTGCAACAGATGGGACAACAAAGGTAGGAGTAGTTAAGTTTCCATTTAGACAGAATTCTCTGTAGTAGCTATGCAATTCTTTCAAGCAAGCCACCAGAAGGGCCTAACTTTAGTCAGTCCAATGAAGCGGATTCTGAGTTTAAAAAAAAAAAAGAAAAAAAAAAGCACTTTATGGGGGGAACTCTCAAACTCCAGTTGAGCTTTCAAAGTTTTGGATTACGCTGACATGATGATGAGGCTGAGCCCATTTGGGGGCTTTTATGGATGATCTGAAACGTTCACATTTTAAAGTATATTGAGTAAAATATATGTGTAAAAAATTAAATTAATCGGATATCGTTAACCCTTTCATCCACTCTCATTTGTATATACAAAAATAAATGATAATTGTGATTTAAAGTATTAAAATGAATATAAATGTGAGTGGATGAAAAGGTTAACGATATCTAATTAGTTTGATTTTTTTCAGGTATATTTTACTTGATATACTCTAAAATGTAAACGGTTCGGATCATCAAAATAGATTCCGAAATAGGTCCATTTGACTGTACAACAATGACCGCTGTGCAAAGGGCACAGTTGCCACCCAAGTCCATTAGTGTGTTATTTTAGTGGTTTATTTTTATTATATTGAAAAAAATTAAATGGTATATATATATATTGTTTACCTATAAATATATAATAAATATAGCTTGCATGGGTTGAGGGAAGCAAAATTTGTTCCGGCCTCACTTTTTATTGGGGCCCTGGCATGCCATTAAGGCTAAATTGAAGGCTCTCATAAAGATTTGAAAATAGTAATTGTAGATTAATTTTATTGCTCTAAAATCATGTTAATTATTGGTTGCTATTCCCTTTTACTTAACGCACAATAATAATAGGACCAAGTTATCTTTCCGACTATAAATAAGAGAGATATTATAAACTCATCTTTATCAATTTAGAAATTAATCTCCATCACACTTTACATAGATTTTGTACTATATAAATTAATTTTTACTACGCAATCGCTCATCCAAAAAATTCTAAGTGGGTAAGTCTAGGTTACTAGACTTTATCCTATAAATAATGGTGGTCAAGAAGAAGCAAGAAATCTGGGAAATTGTAGTATTAAAAATTTGATATAATTATATTGAGTTCCTTTAAAATTTTAATTCACATAATATTTAACTATTTTTTTTATATTATGGTGTCCCTATTAGTTTTGATCACTTTATTCTTACAAAAAGGATTGTTAATGTATGGATAAAATATATTTATAATCCTTAACGTATTTGTTTCTTTGTCACTTTAGTCATTCAAGTTTCAATTTTATCAATTTTATTTTTAAAATTTTCAATTTGAGTCAACTTGGTCTAATTCTAAACTGATAGTCTAAAATCAGTAATAGAATGGTAATAAAATATAGGGTCATTTTTTGATAAATCTTTTTTCTAAGTGTTTTGTTCTATCTAACCCATATTTTTTTTGAGTATTCCATTAAGTCCTGTTTAATATAATATAACCAAATTATCATTTCTATTTTTTTTGTACATATTTCTATTTTAAAACTAATACATAACAATAGTCCTTTATTTTATAGAGAAAATCTCTTCTTCATTTTAAAGAGAGAATCTTTCATTTATTCCATGGAAAAAATCTCTCTTATTCTAAGGAGAAAATTTCTCCCGTATTTCATGGAGAAAATACCAAATTATGAATTTTGAACTTTTTTATAATTTGAAAATTTTAAAAATAACGCAACAAAAAATTTGAATGAAAATCAAAATAAAATGTAAATGTTCACAGTGAACAACAAACATACAATTAACTTTTGAAAAAATAAAACACATACTAAAGTATAATGTGAATGTTCACAATAAACAACAAACATATAACTAGCCTTCCAAAAAATAAAATTCATACAAAAATACAATGTGAATGTTTACAATTTATAATTAACATACAACTAATTTAAAAAAAAAAAACTTATATTAATGTAAACATTTACACTTCAACGTAAAAACATTAAACAAAATTGAAAAAAATAAAAATCAATTATTTCAATTGTTCAGTGATAATAAATGATTATTCAACTAACAAGTATAATAACAAAAATAACAAACATACAATTAACTTTAAAAAAAAACAAAACTTATATCAAAATACAATGTGAATGTTCACAATTTACAATTAATATACAATTAATTTTTTAAAAAATAAACTCATACCAATGTGAATATTCATACTATAATGTGAAAATATAAAATAAAATTAAAAAAAATCAAAATTGACTATTTCGATTGTTCAATAGTAACAAAAAAATGATTGTTCAAATCAATAAATATAGTAAAAAAAATAACAAAATATAACTAACTTTTAAAAAAATTTCAAAACAAAATAATACCAAAATACCAGCAAGAGAGGGCATCAACCATTAGCTGAATGAATGAACCCCAAGAGCCAGCCACAAAGTTCATCACACGGCATGGACGTGGTTTGAAAATTCTCATTCGACAGAGACTGAGAAATGTATGTGTGTTGCACATAAATGTTTTTGGTAGAGAAAGCAACTACAATAAAATTAAAAAACAAAAACGTGATAATGGTAACTATCAAAATAGAAATAGTAATAAAAAAAAATTATATATTTTTTTCTATGTAATACATATTAATAATAGACATAAGGGTATAATAGTCCAATAAACAATATAAATCAGGAAAAAAGGATCTTATAAAATAAAAGTATATGGGACTAATTAGGTTATAATTTTTCTTGGTGTACTTATTGATTTAGGATACCTCTAAATGAGATTTATCAATAAAAAAACTCTAAAATATATACATGGTTCTTAAAGTATGTGTTTTATGTCCTTTACTTTGACGTGCTTTGCGACTAAGTATTTTAGTCAAAAAGTTAAAAAGTTATTATAAATTGTCACATCACTCTCTCTATTTTTCTGTATATCTTTTCGTAAAAAATTAAAAAGTTACTAAAATAACCTATTCTCAAACGATTAGTCCCTAAAGTTTTTAATATCCTCATTTGATCCTAAAACATTGATTAAAAAAATGAAACATAATGTTATAACATTGAAGGACGAAATTGATAAAATTGATACTTTAGCAACTAAAATGACACAAAACACATCCTGTGTTTATTTTTTGATCATTTCGTTAACGATTTAAACAACTGTAACTTTGAGAACTAAAATGCTAAAATTAAAACTTGAAACTAAAATGATAAAAAAATACGTACTTTAGAATTTAAAACTATTTATCCTTAATGTGTTTATGCCAAATGTATAAAATTTATTGTATTTTTCTAAAGGAAAATGGTTTGTAGCACTAAAAAAAAGTCCCCCTAATCTCCCTAATTTCCTTTTTGGGAAACTGTTTTTTTTTTTTTTCTGTTTTATTTATTTATTTATTTTTTACTTAAAATGGAAATTGTGGGGATTCGGGGGGACCCCAATTCGGGGGACCAACTGCTACCCTTTTCTAAATATCAAAAGCAACTCCGGTTGGTAGCTCGAAATATTAGGGGGTCGAATGGCTCGAAATCCCAAAACGACGTCGTTTTAGGCTTTTTTTGTATTCTCTTACCGGTAAGAGAATATTTTCGACCCATTCGACCCTTCACTTTCGAGCTACCAGTCATTTTCCTATCAAAAGTGGTCTTTTGAGATTTATTTGTAATGATTTTTTAAAATATTTTATTGTATTTATGTTAAGTCATGAACCACGTGCCGTCCAGAAATGGACAAAAACATGTGCTGAACAAAGGACAAAAATGTCAAAAAAAAGAAAAAAAAAAAGGGACAACAATGTGAAACACA